CCCTTTTACAACCACCCGGCAGGTAACGGGGCGTCCTCCTCCTCCTTCTCCTCCTCCTCCTCCGCCGGCGGCGGCGGCCCAACGGCTGCCGGGCTGCGCCGCCTCCGCGCCGGGGGCTGAGGGGTCACCTTGGTTGGGCCGGCGGAGGAAGAGGCGGCGGGTCCCTCTGGGGGCCGCCTGGGGCGGGGAGCCAGCAGGGGTGCCAGAGCGCTGGGCACCGCGGTTTGCCGGCGGCGGGGGATGGGGGGAGGCGGAATTGGGGCCCCAGAATCGGTCCGGTCTGTTTCCCCTCCTGCGGGTGTGGAAGCCGAATCGGGGCTGCAGAATCGCACCTCTGTTGCTGTGATTTTGGCATGGGGAAAACTGCCCAAGAGTGGGCTTCTGCTTGTTAAAGGAAAACTTCTTCAATTTGGAAAGAAAAACTAAAAAAGGCAGGCACGATACTAATTGTTCCTCCCGCCTCCTGCAACTCACGAGTGTACTTGACTGTCCCTATCGTGTTACTCCACGGTTTGAATCTGTAGCTGGGCTACCTGATCCCAACCCAGGGGATGTGATGATTTCCAAAGGGGCCTAAAGGCTTCAGCAGTCACTTGTTTCAAATGGATATGCTGAAAAACTAGGGGGGAAGCACTGCAGGGATTTCTGCTCTTGAAGTGTATTCTGGTTTCAGTCAAGCTTCTCTTTGCTTTATTTTCTTTCTGCCGAATCCAGCACTTCAGCCGAAGACAACCCGTGCCCTATATGAATCCATTCTCGTAGCTGAAGGGCTCCTGTGGAAGGGCTCAAGTTTCCCTGAAATGAGCTACCCTTACCTGACCTAAAGCTTACCTTTGCTTGAGCAAACATGGTTTTTTTGTTATTAGGAAGAAACCTCTTGTAAAATCACCTGCTTCAGTGCCATTTAGGTGATGTTTGTTATGTAAACAAATTGCATAGGTTAGTTAAAAAGAGTGATCGATAAACCCCTAAAGTTCCATAGGCTGCTGTTTCCACTGTTTTGTTTCAGTGTGATACACATCCTTGACTCTTCACCTACCTGGAATATGCACTGTGAAAATAGACTTTAGTTTTTAGTCCGTTGTTCCATCCTCCTATAACGGTCCTTTCTTGAAACAAAAATTGTTGCTTTAAAGAAATCACAACTAAAGAGTGAAAACTGCAGTTGTCAAAATGTCTGATTTGTACTGAATTCACTAGACCTATATATACGTATTTAACATTTTATAGAGTCAATGTGTCCAGCACTTCCACTGTAAAGGTGCGAAGCCTCTCAGTGCCACATTCACCCTCTGTGAAATGTGGCAGTTTCCAATTGCTTTTTATTGAATACACGGCATGGCAAGCCCTGGGAACCTCTTATGTTCATTCATCAGAACTGTAGTACTAACTGAAAAAGGCTTTGGAGATTCTCTTGCAGTGCTTTTCACTTCACAGAACTGCCTGTGGGCCACTTTTGTTCACCACCATAAGGTTGAAATTAATTTTAAAAAAAACCCAAAACATCTTTTAGGGACTCCGAGTCTTTATGTATGAATATATATCTGTCATAAACTGTACTGATGGCGTAAGAGAGAAAAGCCACAGAGCAAATAGGTATCGAAACTGAATCTCTGCCACTTCTGTTTCACCCTGCAATGTCTTGAATGTGGGTCTGTGAGAAAGTTATGCAATAGATGTCACTCTGACAGCAAAACAAGTAGGTTAAAAATGAAAGGCTCACACTTTATCTCTGGGGATATCTAAGTTTCTAGTCTGATTTAGGAATATAAGTGTCATTATCATGAAATTATAAATCACTTGTGAGAAATAAAGAACAATGCTTCCTTCTTTTCGGGCACAAAGGCAGCTTCCAGTAAAATAATTGATGCCTGGTCTGAAAAGCTGTTTCTTTGGCTGGCATTGCACAGTGCGAGGCTGCTGGAGGAGAGCAAAGGGCCTGGGGTACAGCACACCAACTCCCCGGGCTGCCACAGAGCGAGGAACATCACTCTTGGCAGCCACAGGGAAGCGTAGGCTGATCTTGTACTCCCTCTCCTGTGGCCTCTTTGGTTCACTTTGCCTGATTAATCTAAACTCTCCAGAACAAAGACTTCTTACATTTAATAGAAGTTGTTAATTCTGTCAACTGGCCACAGACATGATATCCAGATTAGCCTCTGGTATGCCCCTGCTCTGATGTGCTGCTGTCAAATTCATCCTTGAAAAATTGCAGGAATCAGGACCTGGGAAGAGCTCAGCCTGGCTGGGTACTTACTTGGAGTGCCTTCAGGAGAGGTGTTCTGCTTAAGGCATTTGACAGTCTTCCCTTCTAACAAGCTTGGCTTGGTACCTTACTTGTCTTCAATTGTTTCTTTCTTTTGTAGTCAACAGTTTTAAAATATCAAGTTATATATTATTAATAAAAATTAATGTTGATTGTCTTGAAAACTTTACTAGCTGTTTAGGGTATGTCAATTTAATAATTTATACTCGCTCCATGTTCTCTAGTACTCCAAATCTGAATTTGGGTTTTATAATAGAAGAAAATCGATGATGGTAATTAAAGCTACTTCCATGGGACGTCTGTAAGACTGATTTATGTATATTTGCAGCCTGACACTGACATACTAAGTAGCTGCCTAAGAGAACAGCAACTGAAGTTTCTATCTTTAGAGGATTGATATTGAGCTCTATTCAACAATATTAAACAGTTTTAGTGGCTCCACAACCCCAGGCATCCTAAGAAAAATTAAATCCTGTGTAGGTAGAAACATCCAGTTATCCAAGCAAAAAGTAATATGCTAGTAGTTACTAACTGCAGTTTGAGACTTGATCACTATCACAAGCAGCATGGGTCTAAGAGGGCTTTATGGGGCTTTATGCAAAGCTGCCAGGCTGGTTTTTGTTGCTTTCTGTGCTGCAGTCCCCATGCCCTTTTATAGGGCTTAGTTGGCTTTAAGGTGATGGAGCAACTGATGGTTGTAACAATTAGTCTTATCCTCCAAGTTAGGAGTTGCTTCACAAGTGCTTGCTCTAGCAGCTTGATGGTTGATTTTTCCCCAGTCATAGTTTTAAACTTGAGGGTGCTTAAAACAGGGAGTATAAGTAGTTACTGCGGGGCTTTTTAAAGGCTGAATTGTTAGTAAAAAATTAGCTCACATAAAAAAAAACAAGCAACCAAAGTCCTAGTGTTTATCATTTATAATTAAAAACTTTACTCATAATATGTAACATATTGCAGTGAAAATTTGGCTTCATCTTGCATGTTACCAGAATGCTGAGCAGTGTCCCAGCAAGACCTAAAATTTAATGTGTTTTGATGAAATCAGAAACAGTGTCCTGACTGTCTCCCAGTGTGGCAGATTAATACTTTGGATTGAGGTCTCTCTTTTAAGACTTTAAGCAGTAGTCCTAGATTAATGATTTCTGGCATGGTTGGCATGTTGTAGGTGTGGCATTACAGTATGTTGTTTTAACCAACCCATTGCCATTTTAGCACCACTATAGGATGTAGGTATTTATAAGAGAGATGTTTTCCCCCAGATCCTGTTCCATTGACTTTTCTCCTTTCCTTCTGTAGATTTTGTCCTCTTCTTCCATAATCCTTCTTTGCTTATTGGGGTGTAGGGTTGATTGGTTGATTGTTTCTACTAGAAAGACATGGTTATTCAGAGGTGCAGATTAGAGGTGAATGAGGACACTCTCCTTGTGACATTTACTGCTACTTATGTTTGCAATTTGTACTCTCTCTTTAACCATATAATGCTGCTGTGTAGCTTGTCTTCTGTAGCATGGGCTGTGGTTTGGGAAGGGAAGGAGGGACTGACTTGTTACAATACCAGTAATAAAATATTTTGAGGTTTTGGTTTAACAGTAAAATAAAATATTTTGGGGGTTTGGTTTAACAGTTCACAAATATTTCAACTACTAATTCTGTTAGTCCAGCAGTAGAGTAGCTTTTAATCATTATATAGAAACTGTCTTCACTATTCCTAGGCCTAATAATTAACTCTTATCATTATAAATGTATTTTGCCTGCTCTAGTGTCCTGGTTTGCTTAAAAATGGAAATACAAAATCCTACTCATCTGTTGCAGAAATGGGTGAACTGATTACACAACTGAAGGTTGATGCACCGAGCTGATGAGCTATGAGTATTAGTGATAGAGCTTGTACAGTGGTAGAAACAGTGCTAATATACACAATTCATTATTAAAAAAACCCCAAACCCTAAAACTTACTGTGGATATTTAAACAACCACATCTCACTGAATAATTGATCTTCTTTTTTTTTTTCCCCCTCCTCCCACAGGTCCCAAAACAGTATTTTTCTGGGCACCTATTATGAAATGGGTAAGTACAAGATGCCAGATGGTGTCTAGATGTGAATCAGAGGGCAATCTGCAGCAACCCATTGAGCAAGCAAGAGTTTCCCAGCAGATACCTCAGCCTACAGAAAAGTTTAATACTGAGGCTTTAATTTTTAATATATGGGGAGGAACAAAATTGGCTTTAATAACACATAGCACAATGTGGAAGGGATACAGCAGGGGGAAAATACTCTGTGGAAAAATTCTACTCTTCACTGAAAGTTTCACAAAAGCTTTCTCTTGTGAGACACTAACTGTTGCTCAAGGTAGGCCTGAGCTGGGCATAATTCAAAACTCTTTTAAAGCATGTGTTTCTTCCGAGATTGAGGAATTGGAAGACTATCTTAAGGAAGCCAGTTCCTAAACCTCATAGTTTGAAGGCAGGTTAAAGTGTGTCAGAGTGCAAGGTAATCTTGAGAAAACAAAAGAAAAAAGGCAACTGCCGTTTTGGCTATCAGTAGCTCTCTGCTTCCCACTTGGTTATATGCCTTGGCTATGTTTGTGCCCAGGTGAAGTACATGCCTCCCCCTAATTCTCTGTGCTCTTCCTAGTTGTTGTATTGGTACAGACTAAATAAGTAACCTCTAAAATCATAAAGCTGTTTAATCTCCTTGTTTGATAACAAGCAAGGATATAACCTGCTCTTCCTATTGCCAGCTGGTTAGGAAATTTGCCATTGTGAACCCCAACTTTTTATAGGCCACAGGCAAGACGTTATGCTCTAAACTGTAGCTTGGTTTCTTTGTCAGTCTCCACTGGAGCTGCAGTAACCATGGTTAACCTTCCCCTGTCACAGGGGCTCTCCTAGGCAATGTGCTCACGAGCCTGAGCGTACAGGGCCGGTGTCAACTGCTGCTGTATCAAAAGAGCTTACACACAGATGGTTTTTCTTTTGTGAACATGCAAAAAGACTTCTGTAAGCTCACAGTGAAGTTCTTCACTGAGAAGTTAAAATTACTTTCCCCCTACATGGCAAAGGCATGTTTACTGCAGTTCCCCAAGTGTGCTGAAAGTCTGCACCTCTGTGGCACCACTGCAGCAGTATCAGTCCCATAAGTGAGGCAGCACACAGAAGTGTCTGCCCTTGAAAACTGGTTTCTTGATTGGAGCCAAAGGAGGCCTTAGTGGCAGTCAGCGAATTAAAAGCATTAGGACTCTTATTTGTGGGATTTTGGTTTTGGAGGGGTTTTTTTTTGTGAACTCCAGTAACACGAACATGAAATTGTATTTCCAGTAGAGGGCAATAACACAACAAAACAGATCAAGCAGCATGTTTGCTAGTAATGTTGTCAAGTAGATAAGCCAAGCTATTCCTCACTTCACCTGGAAGTTTTCTACTTATACTGAAATTGTATTTAAAAAGCAGCACTTTCACCTCCTCACATGAAGCTGAGTGAAGACTATGGTATCACACCTGCATCTCTACCAGCAATATCTTAGCCTGAGCTTTAGGAAGAAGGGCCTTCATTAGATAAGCTTCTATTTGTTGCCTGAAAACCAATTTTTTTTTATCTGCTTTCTTAAGCAGCTGTGCTTAAATTAACCTTGTTCTTAAATTAATATAAAATTGCCACTGCCTGGGATTTTATTGCAAGCTGGTTGTAGCCCCCTTAACTGCGTTCTTATTCCTACCACAAGGGACTAGAAGTGGATGGTGTCTCCGAGAGTCTCATTACTCTGCTCATACAATGCATCCCATCTCCTGCAAAATGCATATAGAATAAGTACCGAGCTGTGAAGCAACTTCCCCTTGAAAAGCATTTGATTGGTCACAGGAGGTCCTGGTACTGCACCGGTGCTCACTGAATTTCTCTTTACAGGGTTTGGTATGTGCTGGAATGGCTGATATGACCAGACCAGCAGAAAAGCTCAGCACAGCACAGTCTGCAGTGCTAATGGCCACAGGTAAAGCCAGTTACTCCGTGCTTTCACAGCACCCTTCTAAAACTGTCTATCTTTAAAACTGGGTATCTTTCTGAATGCCTCCATCAGTACTAATCCACTTCCATAGAAAAGGCTTAACTATAATATGGTATCTCTCACTATTGCTGTTGGATGATAATTCTAGGATAGACCTATATTTCTTATCAAATCTGTAAGAGTTCTGTAATTATATAGCAGCTTTTTACATGTGTCTTAATTTGGAATTGTCCAGAGCAAGTTGTTATGAGTTAGTATATGAGTTTCAACCCTTAAGTTACAATGATACCACTCATTCCATTAAGTGACCTCTTTTGCTTCAGGTCAAGTAATTTTGAAATCAATCCAGGATATAGTGACTTTTTTAGAACTGACTTTAAGGGATTAAACAATGGTAGGGTAATTACACTAACGTAACTGGAAAGAATTTCCATAGGTCAAAAGAACTTGGAAGCAGGGGTACGTGGACTGCTGCACTGCTGTCTGCTGTGGATTGTCACACTTGACAGAAACAGTATTCTGTATTCAAGGTGTTCTACCAGATCTTGTCAGGGGTGGGACTTGTGGCAGCTAAAGCTGAAAATCAAAATTACAGCTGCCACCTTCTTCATTCTCCAGACTTTATTCTGGTATCTGAGACAGTGCTGTGCATTTTGCATGGTATGTAAACCTTTCGTAACTGGTGCTTTCTGTAATCTCTAAGGTGGTACAGCAAGCCAGCTATACTACTGCAAAATGCCACTACCCTGCAGCTGTGCTGGAGAACTAAGGTCTAGACTGCTGTAGAGTACACAGGATTTTTGTTTGATACTAAGACCATGATTGACCTTATTGCCTAGTTATTCTGGAAAAATGCAATACATACCCAATAGCTGTCCCACTGGCACTTGATGCACTTTTAACTGAGAAATGGCTAGTTAGAAGAAAAGCAGTTGTCCAACATGTAATTGTAAAACTTGTTAAACTGGCCTGTGATTCTGTCTCCAAATTTAGGAGAAATGACTGAATATTTCACTTTAAAGACTTAACATCTTTAAACTTTCCCATTCATTCCACAGGCCTTATTTGGTCAAGGTACTCTCTAGTTATTATTCCTAAAAACTGGAGTCTGTTTGCTGTGAACTTCTTTGTTGGCTGTGCTGGTGGCTCTCAACTCTTCCGAATATGGAGGTATGTGTTAAGAAAGGCAACTACATACTATAACTAAACCTCATCTTAATAAGGAATTTATTAATTCTGCCAGCCTCAATGTCAGTGCAACAGGCAAGAGGAACCCAACAATTAATTAAACATTTCAGAACTTTTTTGCTATGTTGTTAGTTTTCCAGTTGAGTGGGGAGTGAAGCTTGACATATTTTCAGTGGAGCTGGAGCATGTTTTAAGGAATGCTGTAGGTAAGCTCTAGTTTCTGGATCTAAGGCTTTCTTTAAAAGCTGTAGGTCTGACAGAGAACCTAGACTCCCTTCTCCTCGTAAGCTTTGTACTTCTGTCAACTTTCAGTGGATCAAAGGGTTGTTACACAGAGCAGCATTTTATTTTTTATCTTTTAATTATTTCCTGAGGGGAAAATTTGGAGTTCTCTGGCTTCAGTGCTGGCCAGGAAAGAGGCAAACTTAACAACCAGTTTGGAATTTCTTACATGAACTAACCTATCCTCAGTTTCCACCCTCAAGTCCACTGTAATTTTAAACCTCCTCTGCTAAAAAAATTGTTAGGAAGACACTGTTTCTGTAACTGGTGTTCTATTCTTTGTCTGTGCTTTTTTTTTTGTCCCCTATAGGTATAATCAGGAGCTAAAAGCAAAACAACAAGAGCAGCTGCAGCAAAGAGATGCTTAACCCAACATGTCAAATCCAACAACGCACAAACCCTTTCCCATGGGACCTAGCTTCACTAATTTTAATGTTTTTTCCTCTGAGAAAATGAATGAGGAAATCTAAATATCTAGAGAGCAAGTGTTTTCTAAGTGCAAATAACAAAGTATCTCCATACATTTAAATAAAGTATAACATTTTAAATTGAAGTAAAATTGTGTCTCTTGTATTGTCTCTTTAAAAGCAACTGATTGTGGGTTGTGCCTAGAATGAGTTGCAGGGCCCCACCTTATCTGACTCCTGAAGAGTGTCGGCAGTGACACGGTGCTGGCGACAGGCAGCTGGAGCCACAGACTGAAGTCATCTTCCTTCACGTCAATCAGACCTGGGTGGCCTTTTACCATATTTTCAGTAACCAGCAATGGTAACATCTGCAGTTCATTCCCTGATGCTCTTCCCCGGGAGTGTAAGGATATTCTTTCAGCTTCGTATCTCAATTTGTTTCCCAGCCACCACCGTCTTTAACAAAAAGATGGCAAACGTATGTGCCACTGGTGTTTTATCTTCTGTCATCCCATGCAACTAAAGGCAGAAGATGGGCATGTTTAAGTACCTGGTTCTTGGGAGCTTGAAAAATGAACAGGTTCCAAGCAAAGGCTTTACATGAAACTGCAAAAGCTCATCTGTTACTGAGAAGTACAAGGCAACTGTGCTCAAAGTAGGGCAGCAGTGAGCTTCCTGGCAGGTTCTCTTGAGACTTCTTCCACCAAAGCTAGGAGTAGGTACCAGAGCTCAGGAATTTATACCCAGGAGAAAAAGAGACCCCTGAGAGAGTAGCTTCCTCAAGATTCACCTTTCGGGAAAATGATGGCCTCGAGATAATGGAATTTTGCAAAGTCCTGTTATTAAGTCTCTTTCCACCTCTACCTTTCCCCACTGCCATTTGAGTTACCCCTCCAGCATGGCAAGGGTGGAAAGGAAATTGTTTTATAGTTACAAGAGCTACAGCACCTTGTGACACTGACATCCCCTCCTTTCTCACCCTATGTATAATGTATTATCCTGTGCAAAGTATTTGTGCAGGATACTTTAAGGAAAGCATTTTCCATTCTTACTGCATAAAATAGTCTGTCAGCTCCCCTTTTTCAAAGGCTGTCCTGCCATGAAGCTGTTTCTCTCCTGTGTGTGTTCTGCTACAGTTTCACTTGCATTTCTTAAATTCTCCTAGCTGAAGTAGTAATACAGGGTATCAATTCAAATGGTGAACTCTCCAGCTGTGTTGTTTGCTGAACTGACAGAGACTGCAGGACTGCAGTGCCTGAAGAATACTACCAGAAAGAGAGGTGGTGTATTTCAGTCCCCCTCCCTTCCCAGTCCCTAACCAGACAAGACTTGTCCAGCAAACCAGTCATGGGAAAAAAAAAGTGTATTAAAATATTCACAAGATTACAATAGAAAACATGAAAGTCCAGTCAAGAAAAAATATCCAAGGTAAGTGTTTCCAGATGAGTCTGTAAAAGCAAAAGCACTAACAGTTGGTACACTGGCTCTTCATGTAATCAGGCCATGCAATGCATATCTAGCTCCCTCACACAGATTATACACCTGTCTTACAGGTGTTTGTTCTCTTGCATACCTCCAAGCCAGAGGTTTACAAAAGTACCCAGTCTATGTTTCCAATTACATTTACCACATAAAAACAACTGGCACTGCAGGGAGACAGAAAAGATTGCACAGCACACTGATCAACAAAGGCATTGAACTTACATTTTAGAGTGCAAAAATACCTTTAAATGAAAAGGCTTATTAGCTTTAGGGCAGTGAAGAGAAAGGAAAGAGAAGCCTCAAGAAGAGTACAATTGCTGAGCATAATTGGCATGATTTTTGTAATCTCCCATATCAAAATGTGGCCTAAATGCTAGCACCATAGGGTTGTAGCCACAACCCAGAAGTCTTACCAAACTTCTCAGTTTTGATGGTTTTAAAGAGCAAATATTTCTATCACCTATTATACAATAACAACATTTTGTATTTGAGGTCCTAGGTAGGTACATTAATAATGTAATATTCCAAGACAAGATTTCAATACAGAGTGAAGGTGTTTTGGCTATAAATCAAACAGCCCACACTTTGCCTCAATGAATCCACTTTAAGGCAACGCAGCTTCTAAGTTGCATATACACATTTACTGCAGTTACAAGACAGATGGTTACCTAAACAGTTCTCACATGATTAAAAAAGTTAAAAAAACCTAATTCCAGCTCTTCTAGTCACAAACTGAAATATCACTAAAGCTTTGAGAGTAAACAAAACCCTACAGGTCTCTGGTTATATATGACACATCATTCAGCTAGTTACAGGGACGTATTTGCCACCCTGTAATGGCTCTTAATGCCATTTCATAAACATGCTGACCATCTCCCTCACAGAACAACTGCTGAAGTCAAAAGGGGCAATGGAGATTTGATGTACCAAGTACAGCTACCAATTTACTTAGATTGATACAATTATTTGTAATCCTCAAAATTCATTTCTGGTATCAAAGATAAGGAAGAATATATCCACTGTTACTAAAAAGCCAAAACTTTTCCATTTTGCAGTTCTGTTAAAAACAGGGAAGACGAATGATGTGATTCATATCCCTGCCTCCAGGGGGTGCCAGCCTGCTTACCTGACAGAGCTCAGGCTGGTGATCCAAAACCAGTCCTACAATGGGTAGAAGGTCGCTTTTACCTATAAAAGACCTTTTTTTAAACCCTCAGCTGACAATTTCAGATCGATCCCAGTTTTGCCTCCATGATGAATAAAGGAGAATTCATTGCAAGTCTTTTACATCACAGAAACCTTCCCCAGCTCCACTATCCAAGAGCAATGACCCACATTAACAGTTTTAGTCATTTGCTCCCGCCTCAACAGAGGCTGCCTACCCCTCAGCTGTGCTGCTGCAAGCTTGCCACACAGCACTTTTTAAAATAATAGATGGTCCTAAAAAGAGTCAGCAGCAGTACTACGACAGGACAAGGACAACGCAGTGTTCCTCAAAGTCCAAGCTGTTCTTTTCCACCTGAAAGGAACAGCATCAGAATTAAGAGAATAGCAACAGAGCAAAGAGGTCAAACTTCTGGTCACCATAACATCAGGATATGATGACCTTGACTGACTAATCTCTGCTTGCTACCCATCAAGGAAGTAGGACTCCTCTGTCTTTTGACACTTTACTAAGTAAGCCAATTTACCATCAGTCCCTTTCATCAGCACAGGGATGTGTATTAGCTTGTATGATTAAACAAGCTAAGATAACCCGAGGAACAGAAAGTTCACAAGTGTTGTTTCGCATTGCCTCGAGTTCTTTTGACTTCAGCCTGAATAAGTTATTTAATAGCTACACTGTTCATGTTTCCATGACAAAAAAAAAAAAAGGTAATTCAACAGCTTTCACACTAGAGAGGGATTCAGACTGATTTCTGCTATTCTTGAGGGAAGGAACTTTTGTTTCTTTCTAAAAAGATATTCAGCATTTTTTAAAAATACTTGCAAGTTCATTTTGCCTTCACAATGAGGATTCAAAGAGCCTTGCAATGAGTGTCCTCAGTATAGGCAATGTGAACATACCTGTAGTTAAGCAAAAGCAATGGAAGGAGACATTTCCCAAAGTTAGTTAGCACCAGACAGATCAGTGTGTTTCCTAAAGTTAGCACCATAAGAGCATGTTTCTTAAAGTCAGCACCAGATAGGACTGTGCTCAGATTCTCCAGTATATTCCAACAGGAAAAAAAAAAAAAAAAAGTATTAGTAGCAGACTTCAGAGCCAAGGATAGCCCTACCTTTTCATAGCAGCAAGTTTCTGATCGCTACATTCATCACATTTCTCCCTCTTACTCTAAAGTATCTGGGGAGAAACATAGCGATGCACAGGGATGAATACAGGCAGATCAAAATCAAGTTTCTCCACCAACCATATCAAAAGCATTTGTTTCTTACTAAGTGTAGTAACAGTCCGGTAGATAAGGAAAGCAGCAGCATTCACCCTGATCTTAATGAGGCCTCTAACAAAGGCAGGTGTTGTCAGGAAACCAGTAAAGTCTGATCCAGATGAAAGAATGTAGTGTTGGCATACCCAACTTTGTTGGGAAAAAACCCTCTATACACAAAATAGTTACTAAAGTTGCACTGTCATAATCAAAGGATTATCAAATGTGGTTCTGAAAGGGTCTTCCATGGGCCTAAAACTACTTCTCATTTACTTGATTTTACAATGGAATGTAGGGTTAGTTTTGCAAGTATCAAGCTAAAAGTGTTGCAAGCTCACTGGAGGACAGCATAAGAATTCAAGATTCAACTGACAAATTGAAGATGAGGTCTGAAAAACCCATAAAATAATTTCAGTAGAGACAGATTTGCAGACAATACAAAACCAGGAAGAGCTGCTGGCACACTAGATGGTTGTGCTGCCATTCAGAGGGACTTGGACAGGCTGGAGAGGAATTTCATGAAGTTCAGAAAGGAGAATTTCAAAGTCCTGAACCTGGGAAGGAACAACCCCATGCACCAGTACATGCTGGGGACCGCCTGGCTGGAAAGCAGCTTTGCAGAAAAGGCCCTGTGGGGGATCCTGGTGGACACCAGGTGGAACATGAGCCAGCAGTGTGACCCTGCTGCAAAGAAGGCAAACGGTATCCTGGGCTGCATTAGGCAAAGTATTGCCAGCAGGTCAAGGGGGGTGATCCTCCCCCTTTATTCTGCACTGGTGAGGCCACACCTGGAGTACTGGGGTCCTGTTCTGGGCTCTCCAGTACAAGAGAGGTATGGAGATACTGGAGCAAGCCCAGTGCAGGGCCAGAAAGATGATAAAGGAACTGGGGCATCTTCCATATGAGGAAAGGCTGAGAGAGCTGGGACTGTTCAACCTGGAGAAGAGAAGGCTTGGGGGGATCTTATCAATGAGTATAGATACTCGATGGGAGGGAGTGAAGAGCACTACTCTTCTTAGTAGTGCTCACTGTCAGGAGAAACAGCAATGCACAGAAATCTAAAAAAAGGAAATCACAGAATCATTCAGGTTGGAAAAGACCCTTGGGATCATCGAGTCCAACCATCAACCCTACTCTACAAAGTTCTCCCCTACACCATATCCCCCAACATCTCATCAAAACGACCCTTAAACACCTCCAGGGATGGTGACTCCACCCCCTCCCCGGGCAGCCTATTCCACTGTCTGACCACTCTTGCTGTGAATTTTTTTTTCCTAATTTCCAGTCTGAACCTCCCCTGTTGCAGTTTAAAGCCATTCCCTCTTGTTCTATCGCTAATTACATGTGAAAAGAGACCAGCACCAACCTCTCTACAATGTCCTTTCAGGTAGTTGTAGAGAGTGATGAGGTCTCCCCTCAGCCTTCTCCTCCTCAAGCTAAACAGCCCCAGCTCCCTCAGTCTCTCCTCACAGGATTTGTTCTCCAGGCCTTTCACCAGCTTTGTTGCCCTCCTCTGCACTCGCTCTAGCACCTTGATATCTCTCTCATATCAAGGTACCCAAATGAAAATGAAATACCACCTGAACAGAAGGAAGCACTTTTTTTACTGTTTGATCACTCTGATCAAACAGTGGAACAGGTTTCCTAGAGATGTGGTAGAGTTTCCATCTGTGGAGATATTCAAAACCCAACTGGACATAGTGCTGGGCAACCTACTCTAGCTGACCCTGCTTGAGGAGGGTGCTTTGGACCAGGTGATTTCTAGAGGTCCCTTCCAACCTCAGCCATACTGTGACTGATTCTGTGAAACAGACTGAACTAGGAAATGGGCAAGAATCAGAGAGAAAGGGTTATAGTAGACCAAACTGAAAATTATTTGCTGCTACAAAAAAGCCAACACCACATTAGGATGTACAAAACAGAAATCCTTCTAGTGCACGCTACTCTGAGAAGACCTCAACTGGAATGCCACATCTAGTCTAGAGCACCAGATTTCAGGATACCAATGGGACAGCCAAAGAAAGATCCTCTTCAGCAGGAGAGAACAATCAGAGATCCTTAACAAAACTATAAGGAGTTTGATCTAGAAATGAGAACCTGGGAAATTATATTCAAGTAGTAGACTTGCAGAGAGGAAGGAAATAAACTACCCTCCACATCCTCTGTGCAAATATAGGTTATACGAAAAACCATATATCAAAAAACCCCAAGGAGTAAAGCCCTGGATTTCCTCCAGAGGTCATTCAGCCACCACTACATGCTTTTTAAGAACAGATAAAGCATCTCTAAGGAAGTAACAGTGGCATAATGGAGCCATGGGAGAGAGGTGAGGGAGCACTAGAGTCTCAAGCTCCCTTGGAGCCCTTTTTCATGTTTAAATGAAATGACGGAGCTTCAAGGAAGAAACATTTCATTGAAAGGTTCAACAGAGTCTGAGGCAACCACCTATAGCTATAGCTCCCCATCCCTTTAACTCACTAGCTCTTTAGTTTTCACAGGTAAACTACCATTTCACAAAATTCATTAGATCAACACTATCCCTGTACCTTACAGGACTAAGCTTGAATAGATGGGCTTAAACACAGAAGTAAACAGTTCTGTGACCTGTGTTACTCAGGTCAGGTAGGTCTAAATATTTTGTTCACTTACACTGCTAAGACATACATATCTGATAGCTAGGAGCACAATCTGGCTTACAAGACCACGTGAGAGTGTCTAGTTTATATGAGAAGGCAGCTTGCACTGAGAATCTGACCAAGAAAAGATGAATACCCTGTATACATGAAGAACTCTGTGAATATAAAGAAGGTATCTTCTTTATATTCACCTCAACAAAAGAAATTATGCCCTATAAGCAAAAAAAGAATCTCCGTGTCAGTCTAGAATCTTCAGGTATCTTCCAGTTTCTCCATTAATAGTCAAGATAAAAATATTTTAAAATTGTGATGCGAGTTTTCACTTTCCCTCTCGTCACACAAGATACTAAAAAGAATATTGGCAATTTATAAGCAGAATTCTCACCGCATTTCAACATGCAACATTGGTCTCACTTCTGTACGATTAAATAGACTATTTACACACAATACATATATATCTTTCCCTCTGTATGCACATGCATTGGTCCTAGCCTAGGCATCAAAGGCCACATGTGAGTTCTCTGGGTCAAATCTTGTTCAAGCAATTCCAGTCTGAATGTGTGTTTTCCTTTGGATAGCTTAGGATTTCGTCTCAGTTCTTCCGAATATCAGCATAGACCACAGACTCTGACTTGTTAATCTTGTCGCTGTGCTGTCCTCCAGAATGATCTAACTGCGCGTAAATGACTGGGCCCTGGGAAAAGAACAGAAAAGCACAATCAGTATTTTTCAGAATAGGCCATGTTGCCCCTTGCTTACACAGGGGCTGCAGCAAGACCAAAGCTAAAGCAAGACCACAAAGCTTTTATGACTGCTAACAGCACTTTGAAGCAGGTGGAATGAACCCTCATCTACAAATGAGCTCTAGTCTGCCACCTTTCTCCTATCAGGAGCATGCCAAACAGCACCATTTCCTCCCTTTAATACTGTTACTGCCGCTTGCTTCTCAAAAAAGCAAAGTCTAGAATCCTTTGGTCTGAAAAGCAGCAATTCTTATATGCTGTGGAGCAAAGATACATGGCTTAGTCAGATGTATGCCAGATTTGATATTTTTCAAGAGGAACTGTACTACAGATTTACCAGTAGGCAGCAGAGTATACTTCCCATACTGCCACTCGAGTCCTGTAAATCCCAGCACAGCTGTGCCACTTGGATAATGAGGGAGAGAGCAAACCTGCAGCCACCGTATGACACCAGTCACTGCCCAAGCAAGTGATGGGATCAAGACTTACACAGCAGTGGGCCAGAAAATACCGAAACAGCGCAGTAATGCAGAATTCTTACCTGTCTTTTGAGCCAACCCAGGTAGTGAGCACCTCCGCAGACACACTGGGCAAGCACAGCCACACACCTTTGTTATATTTGCTGAGGTGTGGTGGAGGATATTACAGCACCATCTTTCAGCAGAGCATGCAAACACACCGGCGCCTGCCTAAAACACCATGTCCTCCAAAACACAGCCCACAGGACAGCAAACTGCAGCTATTCGAGATGGGCCAGGGACAGGACTGCAGCCTGGAAAGAGCAGGTACCCAACAAGACACGTGGGAGCTTTATGGAAAGGTCTGGCCTTGCAGGTCCGGCTCTGCATGCCCCAACTGACACAAGCACGGAGCAGAAGGCTGCGACCACCTACCTGGTGACCTCAGCGGAGAGACCACACACACCGCCCGTGCAGGAGCAAAAGGGACCGTCCTATTTGAGGGTGTGGGGGGGAAATTACAAGGAGAGATCTTTTGGTTTGGTTGCAGCTTTTTAAAGAGTTTTTGCTTCAAAACTATTTCATCCATTTAACTCTGTTTCTATTTCCCTTATGTCCCAGGAAGAAGTAGCCTTCACAGGCACTTCTCCTACCCCCTTCTCCCCAGTACTTTTGGTATCCTGCCAAATTAGAAAATACCTCTATGGAACTGACCCAGAAACTCTTCCATCTAACTTACAAAGTAATTAGGAGCCAGAGATTAAGAGACCTTCTGTACAGAGAATTAAGTCCTTGAAGGACCACAGGTACACTTCTGCACAGTGGGTTCCCCCCCCCAACACAATGGGAAAGCACACACCTGATAAATACCTTGTTCTCTTTCAGAAGCTGTTTAAATCCAATTTTTCTTCTTTCCGGGTAAAGTATTTCCCAAATGGTAAAGAGTAGAAGAAGAAGATGGACAGAAGGATGAAAACTTGCGAGCAGATATAAAACATTGAATATAAAGGACGGACCGAGAAAAATGCTCAAAAAAAAAACCCCAAACACTGATGTCTTAGAAAATTCTGAATTTCAAATCTCGTTAGAGCCACTTATTTTTCTTTTTCCACTGTTGGCTCTCATATTGTTCTGGTTTCCAACACTGTATCAGGATTACATTACTAATTCCAATTAGAGTACAGTGTCTATAAAAACTTCAAGGCAAAGTGACCCTAAGGTTTATTTGTAAGCAATTTTGGAAGTCTCATCTGCATGAGATCATAGGTCAAGTGTATGATAAATTTAGGTCGAGAGCACTTCCAATCAGTTAAAAAAGAAAAAAGAAAAAAATCTACAAGTTCATGAAGCACTCAGTATGACATTTCAAGTTTTGTTCAAGTAATTCTGATTGGTCAACTTTCTACCATGGGAGCTCACTCAGGATCAGTTATATTATCACTATTCTAATTTTATGCTAGGTTAAATACAGCTATTCTGCTGCAACCAGCAGGTTAGACAGTGGTGGAGAGTCTGACTGGTGTCATCACCTGCTCCAAACCAAGCTATTAATTGTCTTGATGTGTTCATTAGCAACTAAAGAAGTGGTAGATTAGCTAAAACAAATAAAAGGAGGACTAAGGATTTATTATAACGCTCCATCTATTTGATTTGCTAACTGATTTTCTAGCTGATTATAATCAGCACCAGGGGCATTTTTTTCCTGCATTTGATACCTCCAGTGATCTGAATCTCTGTAAGACTCTTCTTCCACAAGTAAAACCTTCAAAAAAGTCTAAACAATTCAGAACTTTCACCTAATCCCAAATAAACTCATCCTGACCCTTCAGAACCAGAAGATGGACCAGTACTGCCATATAAAACCTGTCATTCCTCTATGCCTTGCAATTTTTCCATTCAGAACTGAAGGCAAAAGAGTAGCTGGTGTACCAATACCTTGCTAAGGGTTTGTCAGCAGAGTCATGAATTGTAAGTTACAGCAAGGAAAAAGGAATAACAAGATTAGACCATCATGGTCTAACAGTGGCCTACAGTATTATCAATTTTTTTAGATTCTGAAAGATGATGCAACTACCACAGATTCCAGCTCCAGGAAATTTATCTGAAATTTAAATCAAGAATTCCTGGTATCATGAACTACACCCTCCCAGAGTTCTGGGGTCCAGTTCAAAGCCTGGAACAGAGCTTATTCAGGTATGTCTTAACTAGAAAGAGCACAGCTAGAGAACTGCACCTAAATTAATGCAGCTTTAGTGCTCCCCGCTTCTACACTGATAGACCTACCTGCTTAGGATCTCCATATCATGCTGCTCTGTACATCAGAAATGCACTTCTACAGAAGTTACACTTTAAGATCAGTGGTCCTTCAGCCTGCCCAGAAATGAATACTCAGCTACTCACGAAGCACAAAGACAAATGACAGTCACCTCAGAGTTAGCAGATCTTGGGACAACATACATCTGCCTTCCAATTTGGCTGCTGCAACCCAGATTACTAGCTAAACAAGGATATCCATGTGGGAATCACAGATAGTTCTTGCCTTCACTGGAAATGCTTTTCTCACTCATCCAAATAACAGTCATGGTAGAATATGAGTCTCTATGGAATGATTGCATGGAGAAGAAACACCACATACAAATTTGAGAGGTGAAATACTGGGGTTTCAACCCCAAATTAAGGCTGACATATGGGAGATTCCCACAGCCCTTCCCAAAGGGGGGGTGAGTTTGCCTTAAGGCTTCCCTCCAGGGTGTGGCCAGCCCTGCAGGGAGAGCCATTGGGTAAATGAGCCCCAGGTGTCGGCATTAAGTAAACAAAGGTCAGGTGTCCCACTGAGGGGCGAGAGCTGCGACCACCTGCAGGAAGGGCAGTGTCTGTCTGTGAGGTGGATGCCCTGTGCAGAGTTCCCTGTTGGGGAAGGACCTCCTGCCTCCCTGGAACTGGGCTCCAGCCAGCCCTGGCTTTTGTAAACGTGGGCTGTGTAGAGATTCAGTCTGTGGCTTCCTTGGTCTCATGTGTTTGGGTTGTTGATTCGGTTGTCTCCCATCCCTCCTGTGGGAGACTGCATGTCACCATTTATTCCACCCATTGTTGGTCATGCGGTGGTGTTGTTGGGGTCAGTGGGATTGATGTTGATTATGTATAATCTGAGTGATTTGTTTGTACCCCCAGCACTCACCCATGTACTGACCCTTTTGTATCAAATACAATTTGGTTATTGGTTCATCTTTATGCTGGCTGTGTCCTTTATGCTAGGCCTGATAACTGGCAAAAAAACAGGACAGAACATACCTCCTGAGAGGGAAGACAGTGAAAACAAGTGGAGTTGATTCAACCAGCTGAACATTCACAGAGTCAGATATGCATACTTTCAGCACTCTGGGGCACTCCAAAAAGCAAGGTCCACACTTGACAAACTTGCACCCAAAACACAAAGGAAGTGCAGGCTCGAGGGCAGCTGAGATGTGGACAAACACTTCATCACTTATTCTTAAACTCATAATAAAATGAAGAAACTTCATCTAATTAATTTAAATGCTACTCTTTGAGAGTGGACACCTCTATTACTGTTTTTAACTTGCAGAGGCAGGGATTGTATATTTGTATTCACAGTTCTCTTCCACCAGCGAAGCACAAAACAGTCACTTCCTACATATCCCACCAAGTAAAAGGCTACAAGGAAGTCCACAGGCCTTTCCTGTTTGACTGCAGCACTGACTGTGTGAACCACTGGTCTAAAATTGCCAGGCAATCCAAGACACAGAAGTGTGCCTGAATCAAAAAGCAGACTGCAAAAGCTTCTGGGAACTGCCAGGAATCTGAATATCAGCATTTCACCTACACAACAGCTCAAAAGCTTACATACTACAACTGCTTTCTTAATTATGAAGAAATAGCAGGTTTTATTTATATGTGATGCTAGATTTCAAATATGTTAATTTGCATGTTGATACCAACCTTTTTTTTAAAAAAAAAAACAATGGCTAGAATTTAAAAATATAAGTGTAATCAACTGAAATCTAGTTTCCTCACTGATTTAAACCATCCATTCAAAATCCGATCTACCCTGATTTTATTTGGGATCTTGTTAAAGAAAACTAAGTATGTTTCCTTGCTGTTCTGTAAAGATGAGGCAAATACTTAACAGAAGGCAGAGGAACCACTTGCTGCTACAAATGTTTGCCAAGAAAAGAAAATCCAGACAAAGCTCTCTTTGCCTGACGAAAGAGATGCAAAACCTAAAAAACCTAAACTAAACTAAAACCATTTGCCATATTTTTCCTTTGAGGTCAGGAATGTTCACGCTTTGGGTTTTCCTTTAGGAACTTTTCTGCGGGAAGACCCTGGAGGACTCCGTCACGGAATAAGCAGACTGAAGTGACTACAGAAGGCAAAAGCACACTGATTCTGAGTTATCTTTACGAAGTTTAGATTTACTCTGACATGTTCCTTCCAGTACACTGAGACCCAGAACACTGGGGACATGGAAGGGTGAGGACACAGCAAGTTTTCACACCAAAATGTTACTGACAAGATAAGGTTTTTTGCTTTCAAGATATAAGTGCAGAACAGCAAAACTGTCTCTTTTTCTAGCTCTCAGGGAATTTGCATACACTGCTTCATACCATGACTGTAATTAGATAAAACATCCTGGTCTTTTGACCTGGGGAAGTTGACTCCAACAGTCACTGCAATACACATCCCACACATAAGCTTTTTTTCCTTTTTTTTTTTTTTGGGGGGGGGAGGGGGCAGGAATCACCTGTTTCATTCACCCATTCTAGAAGCTCCTCTCATGAAGTAGAAAAGACAAGCTTTATCTAGGCGTTATAGGGACCCTGCTGCTACTAGACCCACTCCAGTCAAAATCTGAACTATTATATTCAGAGAATAACAGTTCTCTGAAGTCAGAAGGTAGCTTTGTGGGCCTATGTGCTAAAACTCTGGAAATACTGCACCTGCCAAGAACAAGATGCATTTCAAAACTAGACTGGAAGCCAAACAGAGTAGGGACTTTGACTTTACCCAGCTCACTGTTCCACTATATTCTTCTCCTGTAGTGTTAACATACTAACACACATTTCCATTATTTTGTCAGGAGAAATTAAGAAAGCAGGTATTAACTCTGGTTTAGAAACCTGCCAGCTCACACAGTACTCTGCAGCCACTTGCTAAAAAGTGGCTTATTAAGAAAAAGTCCATTTCAAACTGAAACTCACTCAGGATCTGTACCTCCACAAGAAAATTGCAGGGAATACACAAATCAATGAAATCCTGTACACTGCTAACAGGTAATCATACATTGTGTAGAATCCCCGTCTGACTCATGCTCTCTCCCCTCTGACTAATTTCCCATGGGATGTTAAATCTGGGTAAGAGCCATCTTTTTCCTTCAAAGTCAGCAGAACTTTTCCAACAGCAGCAAGCACAAGACAAAGCGTGGTAACTCCAAGCCCACAAAAGTTGGGTGGCTCGTCAGAGGAGAGCTCTCAACAGCAAGAGTCATCCTCAAACTGATCATCAAACTGCTCAGTGTTAGCACTGTGCTGGCTCATTTCCTTGTGAAGGAAGTACATGACACACAGCATGCACCTTTACAGTGATGAAAGAGTAAGTAAAATTCCTCCACATTAAGATCCTAGAACAGATTAGGCAGCTTTATGAGGTGATCTAGTAGATAATGTTATCTCTACATTAAACAGCTACCCACTGCCCACTTCTCAACCTTGCCAGGTTCTCATCCTTGCACTACACTACCACTCGTGTATGTTAATGCACAAGATTGGAACCATCTCTTTTTATACATCAGTACAAAAAGGACATAAAACTCCATCTCAACTAATATCAAGATGCTATTCTTTCAATCGCACTAAGCTTCTATGAAAGTTCACCAGTCCCAGCTTACTGTCCATCCCCTGTTTGGAGCAGACACTTTTACCCCCCAGCCTTCATCACCTTAACAGACAGCACCTAATTCATGTGACCCACCCTGCCTTTATCTTTTCCGTACCATCTGCCCCACACTCTGGGAGGATCCTGCTTTGGGAAGCAGCAGGAAGCAGTTTACCTGGTGTGATCTGGCGGGCACGCTGTTTACCAGACCCTCTGTGTCGGAGGGCGACTTCTGCGGAGCCTGCTTAACCGGTGACATCAAGCTCTCAGATGTACTGCAGCTGACGAGGTGGCAGAGCAGAGTTTGCACGATAATGTTCAAGAGGCACAAAAAAAACAAAACACAAAAAAACAAAAACAAACAAAAAAACGAGTGATGGCAAGATGAATGTGGCATATCATGCCAAAGCAAAAATGAACATAATGGTTTCTGAAATAAACACATTTAATTCTCCATCTCTCCCCAGACATTTCTCTATCCTTCCTCCCAAAGTCACTGGTAAGCAACATGACGGAATAACTATTAACATAGGACAACAGCTTCTCCAAACCCCCTGTTCCCTAGATACTCCCATTCAACCCAACCTGTCTAAAACTATGTGTTTTCTTCACTGAGGCTTTAGATACAGTCAACAGTGGTAAACAGCAATTATCTTCTAACTATAAGCTAAATAGTCCCAGTCACTGAGGCAAGTGATATACCAGTGCTAAAGTTAGAATAAACACTTGCAAGAGCCACCAGCTCTCCGTAACAGAAAGGTACTTTACATTAGTTCCCTTGCTAGGCTACTATCCCAAAAGAATTCTGCCCACTCACAACAGACATTAGTCTCTGGAGCAACTACTTTAAGAGTCACACGTGACATGTAAGCTATGTGCCCTGATATAGCTACTTGAATATCTAACTGGGGAAACCTCATTTTTCAAAAAGAAAACTGTCTTGTGGTGAGAACAAACACCCCTAAAAGAAGGTTACCAGTTTTCACTCTCTGTTTGCTTCTTTCCATCTGCTTAAAACAGGACTGAAAACAAACCTGTGATAGACAGAGAAATGAATACCACAGAGCTAAGTAGATGAGCAAATGCCCATAAACTTAACATTAGCAGCTTCTGGGCAATGCAGTAATGGGTCTCTAAATGCTAGGTCTACCTCCTCATACCCAAGCACCTAAGAAAGAAAACTAGCCACCTCCTTGACAGCAGACACAGGAGTTCCCTTTGCTACCACAACACTCTGACCACTGGCATCCTCTTCCTCCAATCTTTGTAGACAGACAAGCATACAAAGCAAGTACATAAACAAACATATGAGGACAGTGACATTAAGCAACCCACCTCCTCACAGGGCAATCACTTTTTATCCTTTGGTAAGTCTAACCATAGAAGACTTCATACATGCAACAGTAAGCAAAAAAAAAAAATACTGCCCCCAGCCATCACAGCAAGGGGTTTTTGCTGTCTCATAGACAAAGCAGCCCTTCTGTTGCCAAAATGATGTAATGATGAATTGTTTGCTTTATGCACAAAATTCCTCAGATCCACAGTATCTAGAAGTCATAATTCAGGTTTAAGCAACTAATGCATTTAGATCACTGCAAGTTTTCAAACACTCAAGCTGTCTGAGCCAGAGGAACACTTATGGGAATTTACTTTTATTTTGACATAGAAAGGGCTTTGAATTTCCTGTGCTTTAGTCAATGCACTGGCAAGTTGACTGTTGGAAGAGATGGAGGGATACCATCTAGGAAAAGCAGCAATCCCACCCCAGTTAGACATGAGACAATGAAACCCAAGGACCCAGTGAAATGCATCATCCCTTTGCCAACAGATTCCAGCACAAATTACAGTGAAGTTATGTTAGCAGAGAGCTAGCTGGTTAGTCAGCAAAGGAAGAGGAAATGTGTACACACACACACAGGTATTAACAGCAACCACCAACTTGATTAGTTACCATGGTGTCTAGTGGGACTGGAAGAGAAGACCCAGCCCTGTTACATTCCCAATCTGGCGTCTATATCAGGATCTCTGTAAGGAGAGGAAGGTAAGCAGGATCCGATCCCAGCACACCAAGGCAGAAAGAAAAAAAAATAAAAAAATACCAGAGTCAGAGCATGAACGGAGACTGTGGCCATGCAGGGGTTCCAGATGCCGCGCAGTGCCCCAGCCCACCTTGGTTCAAGGCAGAATGGTTATCTAAGAGCAAGTACATCTCACCACCACCACCACCACACACTGGGTTAGCATCATGTAGAAGACAGTCCGTAAGTTTGGAAGGAGTCACAGCACATTCAGTTTCTCTTTACAAGTCATGCAGAGCTGGCATGGTCAGTGAAAGCAGTATTTAAACTTCAGAGATTACTTTCCCGAGAGTAGTTACATCTACTACAAGAAATTACAGCGCATCAACTACTGCTCCAGGCTCAGCACCAATGTGTGTCCTTCAACAGGAAGACACTGGAGAGCAGGTCACTGGGAAGCAAGGCAAGCGGGCCACCTCACGCACACTGCTGGTGCATGATGCTGCAGGCTTCTTTTCAGCTCTTAGGGGAGGGACACATGCAGAATGGAAAAAACAGGCTTTCCACACAATTTTGAGCACACTCAGCCACCTTTGCTATATTTAGCCTTACCCTTGGGCAACAGCCAACTCACTTTCTCTAAATTCTCCAACTGGGAAAAGGACAGGGCAAAGTTTAATTTAGAAATCCCCAGAAATTTATTTTTGGAGTTATTTTCTTTTAACCCACAGGCAACCCTGCCTGAAGCAGGAATATTTGTTGGGGAAAGAAGAAAGTTGTAAGTTCGGGGTTTGTTTCTAAGACTGCATACATAATTCTTACAAATTACCAGCTAACTAGAGAGGAGAAAAAAGGAAGTGCCTCCTCCACCAGCATCAAGCCCCATCACCACAGGATTCAAGTCTGCCTTTGTTAGTTCTTGTTGCTTTTCCATATGCCCACTCAAAGATCTGCGTTTCACTTTGGAGTTATCCTCCTAACACTAAAAAAACCTTGCAGGGATGGTAACAGTTAACAAAAAACAGACAGTGAATGAGAATGGATGCAGAGTGGCTACTCTTCCTTCCTTTGAAGTGTGGTGATGAACGGGGTTTTGGCAAGTATACTCCAGGCTCAGGAGACAGACACTGGTAACTGAAAAATCCAGTCTTAACCTCAACACAGAGCATTCCTTAAAAGTGCTTGTGTGGCACTTTTCCTTTGGGGGTTGGAGGTCACAGGGGGAAGCAGGGCTGGAGGGAAAGGGAACAGACCAGAGCTAGGGGATCTTGTATTAAATGTTCTTAGGGCATATATGATTATGGCTGGGGATCAACTCCAACATTTAGTGATTTTCAGGTGCAACTCATGGTCAGTAGGTCTTTTCAAGCAAAATACAAAGATAACCATTATAGGCAGATGAGCAGTGTTCCACATGGCCATACCCTATCTCTAGCCATGGTTGCCAGGACTTGGCTGAAAGAACTCCTACCCCCCTCTAAGCCCTCCCTCTGATCCTGCTGCTGTTCCTCACATCATCCACAGGTGAGGAGGAAGATCTCTTACCCAGAGTATCGTTTTTTAGAGTTGTTCTTTCTGATGACAAGACACACGACAATAGAGATGAGCGGTGAGAGACCTGTAACCGTACCGATGACTATCCCTGCCACCATGGCAATGGGGAACGCAGGCAGGCTGTCTGGGGAGAGAAGGGAGAAAACATTCAACTTTTCTGCATTCCCTGATCAACAGAAGTGCAAACCACAAATGCTCTTGACCTTGGATTCCTTTAGAGCAAAAGGCACTAATGTAATATCCAGGAATTACAACATGCAGCCTAAGAGGTAGTGGTAGCAGGCAGCCAAGCAGAATAACATACGAACAGAGCACACACCAAGAACGTTCTTAATGTCACCGTCCTCCAGAAGAGAGTTTATACTGAACGAAAAATTTTGATGTGTCAGGGAACACAAGTGACAATGAGCACTACCCTGTCTCACTGTGTATCTGAAGGGGAAAAAAAAGTTACATTCATCTGGCAATTCCCAGTGAGGTCACAGGAAAAGGCAGGCACGCTTGAAAGCAGATTTGAACATAGTACACTGCTAACCTACTAAGAGCGCTGAAGGCTGGGTGCTCTCTGGGTAGCATGCAGCAGACAGCCTACTTACTATTCGAGATCACTCTTCAGAATGTTCATACATGATTCTGGTGGCTCAAAATACACACCTATATATTTTTATAGGGTAATTATTTCCCTTCTTAACTCAGGATCATTGTATGATCCTAGAAATACGCTTTAGGTGTTCCTCGCGGGTCAGGACTGGGACTAGCGCTGTTTAACGTCTTTGACAGTGACACAGACAGTGGGACTGAGGGCACCCTCAGCAAGCTTGCCAATGACACCAGGCTGTGTAGTGCGCTCATGTGGGGGGTTGACCTTGGCTAAATGCCAGGTACCCACCAATTTGCTCTATCACTTCCCCCTCAACAGGGCAAAAAAGGGAAAGAAAATAAAATAGGAAAAAAACCCAACCCTTGTGGGTAAAACAAAAGCAGTTTTCATGTAAACAAAGTAAAGCAAAAACACAACAGATTTATTCTCTACTTCCCATGAACAGGCAATGTCGGGCCTTCTCAGGCAGCAGGGCTCCGATACACACAGTAGTTGCCTTGGGGAACCAACGGTGACTCCACACCCTTCCTCCTTTCTCCCAGCTTTATACTGAGCAGATGTCATATGGTCTGGAATATCGCTTTGGTCAGTTCAGGTCAGCTGTCCTGGTTGTGTCCCCTCCCAAGATCTTGCCCACCCTGTCCCACTAGGAGGATGGGAGGGGAAATGTCAGAAAGAGGCTTGGTGCTGTGTAAGCACTGCTCAGCAGTAGCCACAACACCAGGGTGCTATCAACACCCAGCCAGCTCCCAGCATAAAACACAGCACCATGAGGGCTGATATAGGGGAAAACCAATTCCAGCATAGCCAGACCCAGTATAGGTTGACACATTGTAGGGAAGGGATGTGCCATCCAGAGGAACCTGGACAAGCTGGAGAGGTGGGCCCGTGCAAACCTCATGAAATTCAACAAGGCCAAGTACAAGGTCCTGCACATGGGTCGGGGCAATCCCAAGCACAAATACAGGCTGGGTGATGAGTGGATTGAGAGCAGCCCTGAGGAGAAGGACTTGGGGTTACTAGTGAATGGAAAACTGACTATGAGCCAATGACATGCACTCATAGACCATAAAGTCAACCATCAAGAGAAGTGTAGCCAGCAGGTCGAGGGAGGTGACTCTACCCCTCTACTCTGCTCTCCTGAGACCTCACCTTCAGTGCTGTGTCCAGCTCTGGGGACCCCAACACAAGAAGGACATGGACCTGCTCCAGCGGGTCCAGAGGAGGCCACGAAGATGCTCAGCGGATGGAGAACGTCCCCTGTGAGGACAGGCTGAGAGAGTTGGGGTTGTTCAGCCTGGAGAAAAGAAGGCTCCAGGGAGACCTTACAACAGCCTCCCAGTACTTAAAGTGAGCTACAGGAAAGGTAGTGTCAAGGAATGTAGTGATAGGACAAGTGGTAATGGTTTTAAACTGAAAGAAGGTAGATTTAGATTAGATATAAGGAAGAAATTCTTTACTGTGAGAGTGATGAGACAGTGGCAGAGGTTTCCCAGAGCAGCTGTGGCTGCCCCCTCCCTGGCAGTGTTCCAGGCCAGGCTGGACGGGGCTTTGAGCAACCTGGGCTAGTGGAAGGTGTCCCTGCCCATGGCAGGGGGGTGGAACTGGATGGTCTTTAAGGTCCCTTCCAACCCAAACCATTCTGTTAATTCTATGATTATAGGAACACAGTGCTGCTCTACTCACATTTTTCCCAATATAATTTTGGGGGAGAGTAAGCCAAAAAAGAGCAGCCAGAAATAAAAGCCAAGCAGAGAATGAGTACAAAAGACTTACAAGATAAAAATACACAGGCTACCATTATAGCTTTTCCCAGTAAGAAATTAAGTCCCTCCCCCCACGTCATGTTAAATGCAAGGAACATCTTAGACCAGAAGCTTTCTTACAAGACTTCATGATACACTAGATACTTGCACGAAATACAAGTTAATCAGCAGAAGATCCAACACATAAAACATCTTATATAGAAGAAAAGATTTTTTTTTTTTCTCAGATACCAGCATCTGATCGTCACAGACTTGTTGAGGTTGGAAGGGACATCTTGAGACTGTCTAGGCCAACTCCCCTGCTTAGGCAGTGTCAGCTTGCACAGTTTGCTCAAAACTCTGTCCAGTTTGGTTCTGACTATCTCCAAGGATGGGAGACTCCATAAACTCTTTGGGCAACATATTCCAGTGTTCAACCGCAGTAAAAATGTGTTTTCTTATGTTTAGACAGAAGTTCCTGTGTTTCAACTTACACCCACTGTCTCTTGTCCTGTCACTAGGCGAAAGGATCCCCCTGAGCCTTTCTTCTCTTTTGCAGGCTAGACAACCCCTGCTCTCTCAGCTTCTCGTCATGTGAAAGGTGATCCAGTCCCTTAATCACCTTAGTCGCCCTTTGCTGGAGTTGTTCCTGCAAGGACCACAGACCATGCTTATACAAAGCATTCCCAGCAAGTCCACAGTCTGTAGACCAAGCCCATGTTGGCATACTTATCTAGAAGGGAGCAGTGCAACACAGTACCCTGAAGCAGGGGCATCATACTAAGAAAACTGGGCTTACTTATTACCATTCATCTCAAGTTCAGTGAACTTCAGAAGGGCTATCCAATCTCTAGCTGTTTCACTGATCATACCATCATTTCACCAAATATCACATCAGCAGCCTTCCTAGCTCTCCAGTGTTAGATGCCAATTCATAACAACATGGTAATTCAGAGTCTTAGTAAGAAATTGAAGATAAAGACATGACTGCCACAATTTAGAGGAAAACATCCCTTCTTTCCAAACGTTTCAGCCACCCAGAGATCCACCTGCTCTTAAGGCAGAGAATCCTACAAATGGTAATACTTTTCAGGTATGTAAGACTGAAATTGTGTTTGAGCCCCATGCAAAGATAAATTTATTTTGCAGTATGGAAAGAGGAGGAGTTCCTTAGTTTCTGTGCTTTTTCACCTTTCCAAGTGCAGGACTAACTGTCTGCAAGACCATCAAAACAGACATGCATTTCTGTTAGCAGACCAGCTGCTGCACTGTACAAAAGAGAAAAACCACACACACTTTTTCAGAGCAAGAAAGTAAGCAGTCATCCAAAACTAGAGTGCAGTGTCTGTGAAAGCTTCATACTAAAAATTTGATAGTTTCCTCATTTCTTTGACACAGGTGGGGGTTTTGGACTGGTTGAGTTTGAGCAGAGGACAGCACTTACGTTCTATTGGCAGAGGTTTTTAAGACCATATAAAAAATTGCAACTGTTTGCAGGTGGAAGTAGAGCCCAGCTTTATTGACTCTCAGAACATGGTCAAAGAGACTATAGGAAAGCTCACACAATTTTATGACCACACAGCTCAGCTGAAGAATGTCTCCCCACTATGTTTTTTTCTTACATTTTTCAGTATTTCACAGTTACATGAATTCCTCATAAGTACTTACAGAGCAGCCAACTTCATTGTAACAGGCAGTCCCAGCTAAGTAACCAAACATCAGCTCTGAAATCTAATGTTTAAGTTAATAGCTTGACACAAGCCAAAAATCCAGCTTTTCAAAGAATTATTTTCACTAAATATCTCTGTAATTCAAAGCAATTTCCATTTTTTGCTAAAAGTGTTAGCATAAATTTTATGAAACTGTCAGGAAACCAAAGTTTTCCATTGCTGCTAAGTATAAAGATTTTCATACAATTCTAATTTTTCCCCTGCTGTGAGAGTTCATATCAAAGATGGATGACCTCCAGGTAACACAAGATGTCTTGTATACAGTGTTAAGTAGCTTCCTATTACAAGTAGGGGCAGCCTAATGTAAGGACTTGGAATTCCCTACAAATTTCTGTCATTTAATCTTTGAACAGTACTCCTTTCCAGATTCAGATGCCCTAGCAAAAGAACAGTCTTGCTTCTCATCCCTGCCAGTAGGATTCTTCCAACATAGTTGATGGAAATGTTTGTGCAAGCACTATGTAGATACTGCAGTGAAAATCAGCGGAGTTATGTTGGCAATTTTAAACAGTTAAGCCAACCCAGAACTTATTAAATATTTAATCCAAAATCTAAGGCTAACCAAGCATCTATGAGATCATTTAAATGTGTAAAGTATCTATGTGGCTTTGAAGAGTTTACAACACTAGACATATGAATCAGAACCATGAAACGTATACATATGTTTAAAAAAAAAAATGCACAAGAGTCAACAAGTACTTGTTTCGATTGAAAAAATTTCTCCAGCTCAGCTCAGGATGAGTTACAATCTATTACAAGAGCAGTACTTTTATGTGAAGTCAGAATGCAAGACAGCATTACAGCTACAGCTTGAAAGCCTGTTTTCAAGGTCTTCTTAAGAAATTGAAGACAACTGTTGCAGCATTTTTCTGATGACGAGAAGTATTGCCAAATACAGGGCTCCCTTGGAAAACAGTGAGATTCTCTTGTCCAGATGCTCCACCTATGGGGAAGCCGGCATGCAAGTCTGTTGAAAAATATCAGCTGAATTAGTGTACTGAAGTCAGTCTTCATTTGCTTAAGTTGGGTTAAAATCTGAAAAGGCTTTGCCAAACCAGCAGTTGCTTTACTGCTTCTTCACAGAGACTATAAATACATTGTAAAAAACATAAACTGACCCTATTTTATAGAGACTTCAAACTTCCAAGAAACAGAAAATTCTACAATGGTGGGACCTCCAGAGGTCCCATCGAACTCAAACTGCTCTGTGAAGAAAAGAGTTAGAGATAGACCTTGCCTACATGGAATGAACTCATGAGCAGGGGTACACACTTCTTGTAGCAGCAGCATCATTCTAACTGAGGTATACACATAGGTATCTTCCCTAACATATTAAAATCTAATCGAATAGCTGTATCAACACTGTTATTTGCTAATTCAATGCTTATTCTTGCCCTTATTAAATATAAATTTGGAAATCACTGTACAAACCATTTCATTGTAGGAAGTCACACTTTGGCTGACCTCCAACTTAGCTAGAACAAACAAATGTTTTGGATGGTCAAGGGAAATAAAAAAGCCAAACTGACATATAGAATATAAGGGCTCTTGAACTGTGATCATGGTTACCAAATGTTAACCAGAAGCCTTAAATGACCGCAAGAAGCTAGCCCTTGCGGTTTATAAGGGTCACTATAAACACTGTAAGAACATCTGAGTAACAAAGACTGAACGCACATTCAAGACAAATGTTGTCACATGTAAGACAGTAGCATTTCACTGTTTGTCAGTACGTGCTCAGGCCAGATTATTAGTTTTGTTTTCCAATATATATACTGGATGGGTTTCAAGAAGAAGAGCCTGTCACTTTCTCTCCTTGCTCCCCAAATTTCAAAAGTCACCGTAATCCCTGATGCAGCATAATACAGAAAAAAAAAAAAAAATCATAAGACTTTGAAATCAGAAGATGAGTTTTCAGCAAGACTTCCATCAGCTTTTGCCAATACTTGTTAAAAGCATAGGAATTAGTGAGTACAGAGGAAAGGAGTATGACATTCATTTTTTTTAAACAGCTGACAGAATATCAGTTCTATTATTAGGACCTAAAAGAAAAGAATTAAAAAGATAGTTCCTCCCTCCAGACTACTCCCCCACCCCCAATACAGACACAGAAGTGGGGGGAAAAAAAAGAAAGTAAGAAAAAAAAAAAAGTCATATAAGGTGAATACCTTTCTCCACAACTCTAACTCGGATTTCTCCTGGTTTGACAACAATGTCAGGTGGGTTCTTGACATCGCAAATGTAAGTGCCGTTGTCCCGGAACTGCATGTTTGATATACTGATAGAAGCATCTTTCTTGTTAAGATCTCCAGCCCAAGTGATCCTGTCTTTAAATGGTATGTCCTTTCCAGGGTATGGCTTTCCATTAAAGTAATAGAAAAACTGTAGTCAAGGAAAAGAGGATATAAGAACAATCCAATTAGAGATTACAGAGCTACCATGCTTCTCTCACTACTACAGCATTCTCCCAGAATCCACTGTATGATACACAGCTAGTATCTGAGATTTATTTTCCCCCTGCCTCACCACTTTAGTCTGGCTTGTTGCCTCTTGATCACATAACCATGCTGTCGTAGTATGACTGAGGTATAAGCCATAACAGACCACAAGTTTCAGTTTTCTGTTGATTTTGGTTTGTGGTTGCATTGTTTGGGGGTTTTTCTCCTGGTTTTGGGGACATGTGGTTTTGCAGACAAGGAGGTAGAGGAAAGAGAAAAAGGCTGGTAACCTGGGAATAATTAAAGGATAGAACAGTTCTGGATCACAGCCATCTGTCTTTCAGGCACAGGAAGCCTTCTGCATCCTAGTAGGAAAAGGATACCAGGTTTCCTATCTCACGGTTTGCTGTGTGTTACTTGCAACTACAGCACAGCTAAATTAACATGCAGTACCCTCCTTCCTTCCACCACCAAAAAAAAAAAATATCCCATGAGCAACTCAGAGCATACCTAGCTGTTTTGCAGAAACCTTCACAGTAACTAAATATAACCATTTCCCAGTTTTTAGGTGACTAAGTTGCAAACTGGCCCTGCACTCCCTAGACATAACCAAAAATCCTTGAAGAATGAACCTGTTCAGTACAGTCTGAGGAGAAACTAAGTATTTCCTTGCTATACCTGACCAAAATTGGAATTTACAGCATTAGAAGTGCATAGACTTCTACAGGACAACTCTGCTTTCAGGCATATGGGATGTTTGAACACTGACCATAACCTTAAGAGATGGATAAAAGATGTATTATTGCAGGAGCACAATTCTTAATTTGACATTCTGAAAGACAGCAAGACAAACTCAACCAAGAATCAACCTGAACTCTCTTCAGGTCAGCCTCCAAAGCATGGTTAAAGAAATTTGAGACAATATTCCAGCTTCCTTTCCAAAGCAGTCTGTCTGCTGCAGAACAGACTGGCTACAAGCCAGTCTTCTTTCTGCTCAAGTCATCTTCCACTTCTTTTCCTGTTCCTACACTTGATCTGAGGCTTCCATTCCAACATCCTTCTTATCAGACCCACACTCTGAGTATCAGGCCTGACCATTTGGCAGCACAAATCTTATCCAGATCGGGTATGTGCACATGACCATCCATTGTGCTGCAGTCAGTCTGACACTTATTTGTCATCTACAGGCTCACATAAATCCAACAAACTATCTCATCTGGTAGGAAGTCTGCTATCACAGTCATTTGTCAACACTTCAGAGGAAATCTGCATCAGCCTGCAGGATTTCCAGCTGGATTATAACCTTTAGCACAGAGGCACTGCATTACCACACCCCTGTACACAGGGGGAGTCATCCAACTGGAAATCTAGAAGGGAAGAGGCAGATTCCTCAGCTCTCTAGGTGTCTTCACCTGGGGGAGGAGAGATCACAAAGTAAAGTATGCCCTGAAACACAAGCCAAGACTTCTTTTAAAACCTAAAGCTGATGGGTTTAAGCTGATTGTGAAACTCTGATGTCATCAGATGTTTTGTTCATGCAGAGATGTCTCTATAACCAGGCATTTGGAGGGGGAAGGGGACAAGCAGGAGAAGCTTTCAGTCAAGTCAGCTTCACCACATGGCCACAAGATTGTCAGTGCTGATTCTAAAGAGGCAGAGACCATCCTTTCCAAGAAAAGCATGGATTTAGCTCAGACATAAGCTGATCATGAGACTGATCTTTCAAATTAACACCCATCAAGCCATGTTAATTGACATGACTTGGGTTCATAAAGGAAAAAAAGTAAATCTTCCCTCTCCCCCAGTCCCTCAAAAGAAACAGAATTAACATCAGATCATGCTGGGTCACTTCTGCTCAAAGATAATTTGATTTTCTCTCAGTTGTGCTGATAACTACATTCAGGTAGAATGTCTAAGTTGACGTCACTTCCAAAAAAATGCTAAGTCCTGAAGTTGTATTTCTACCACAAGGGGTCTGGACAGTGATGCAGAACGGGAAGGGCAAAACAGGATATATGGTGGATATTTCTATGGGGAGCAGAATGTATACAGAGAGCTTCATTTCATCCATCCTGTTCAACATTGGCAGGAAGTATGCCCTACTTCCTTAAGCTTTTGCCCAGCTACTGCTTTGACTTCCCAAAGAGAAGAGGCTCCCTTTTCAAAACTAAATATTTTTTCAGAGTTTAGAAGCTGATTCTTCAGAGTTCGATATATTGAGCAAAATGCTTATACACTGTTTTGGATCACCTCTGATTTGAGCCTTATTTTATATTATTTATTTTACAGCCTAGTTTAAATGATCTCATGTCTGCAGCAGAGGGAAGGAAGCAAACACTATCAGGCTGAGCAACCTGCTGTCCCCACATCTTCCCTGCTGCCCCAGAGGCTCTTGTTCTGCTTCCTTTAAATTCTCACTAAGAGGGAAACAGATGCGTGAGAGAGCTCAGAATCAGATGCGCACAGCTTACGCAACAGAGGAAGACGAGAGCCAGCAACCTACCAAAGACACTTCTTTGAAGGTTCACGCCCGCGAAGGAACTGAGCACACTTGGGCTCAACATACAGAAAATGAGTGATGGCAATTATTATTAGACTAAGTTGCTTGCTAGTCTGATTTTTTACTCATCAAATAACTAAAATATGAGGATGTAACTGCTTACTGATTTGAGCAATTCAATTCTGATCTGAAACCAGGGAGACTGGTCTTGTTTTTAAATTCTTTCAAATAGAGGCTACAGAGTACACAAGCAGAAAATAAGCAACATGTAATTCAAATTCTGTGACCACTATCGTTTTGTGAACAGCTCTGCAGCTCATTTCAAGTGCAAGAGGATACAGAATTTAGAAGAAGATTCCCAGATGCTCATCTACTTCATACATACTGCTATAATACCAATACCCCTCTCCTCTGACTAACAAGTACTAGTATACTTTACAGTCGCTGCACACTCCAGTCTTTGCAGAGATCCAGCATATGGCAATACTTTCAAACAACTCTAAAAAAGCCCCCCTAAAATTACAGTGATGGAGACAAGACCCTTAGAAGGAGGCTCCAATTTGTATTTGTTTGCTCCTCAAAACAAACTAGAAGACTTCTACACACTTATCACAGCCTCCCCTCCCAGGCTTGTTCCCCTACAGCCATTCCTTACTGAGATACGAGTTGCAGCTCCCTCTGGTTGAAAACTCCAAGAAACAGATGCTGCGCTGCTGATCACTTCCACAGATGTAAATGTGCATGGAAGCTTTGCGTCTGTCCCATTCTCCACAAATATCTCCTCTGGTGTGTTGACCTCTACTGCTGATACTTTGACTGTGTGGGAAAGATAAAGAGAAGAACAAGAACAAGAGGCATCAATGGTGTTTTGAGAATCGGGAAGTTCATGTCACATTGCCTGTAAGGGTAAAAGGGAAGACAGCAACAACTTCTACATCAAGTGTGTGCACAGACATTGCATTATACCTGCAAAACAAACAAGTACAGAGCAGCCCAGTTCACTTCTCTTTCTCTGTATTAGCTATTACAGGACATTTCCCATCCACAGATGTTTCCTCTACAACAGTTTGTGGAAGTCAGCTCTATGGTGCAAAGGATGGGCTTAAAACTCTTTCCTACCAGCTGCCAGCAGACATTGTAGTAAATAAGCCCCATCAGAGGAACTAACATCTTGGACCCAGCTATTACTCAATCCCCTCTCTGGCTCACATCTTGTTTCTCATCTCCAGTTTTTCTCAGCTGTAGTTAGAACAAAAGCTTACCTCCAAAAAGCTGAGGAGTAAACCTCTTGGGCTCCCAGCTTCATCACCTGCTTCTGCTCTCTGGCATGCTTCAAGGTCTTCATAAATAATCACTCAGCTATAGTTCAGAAGCATGACTATTTTCTACCACGAGGCTTATGCATGGTCAGAACAACCAGCAAGCAACAACCACCCCCCAAATTTGAAGTAATCAAGGTTAATATTGTGCTGGTACTGGTAGCTTTCTTACAGAGTAAGTGAAATTCAGCATGATACAGAAAACCTGTTGAACATACTCCTTAACTGGCACCTTTTAAACTGCAGACACACTATCCCTATCCAGATTTACACAAAGACACATCTGTATATTCATTCATGTTAAGAAACAAAGCATGATCTTGTGACATCACCAAAGAATGTCTTTCAGCATTTATGTCACATCCATGTGAAAGCAAAATTCTTGTAAAATCACTGTGGGTGGGTGCACATGTAACATGTGGCCCTGGCAACTCAAGTGTAAGTTTGGATTTTTATTACACCGTGGTTTTCAGCATAGAGATGGTACTAGTAATCTGCTTCTTTATTTCTGGGCTACAGTATCTTAAATCCAGCTGTTTTCCTCCCAAGTTAGAAGAGGAAACCTTCCTGCTTCTTCAGTATCTTAGCTGATTTCTCAACTTTGAATAAACTAGCTCTTGAAGTAAGTAAATTGAAGAAAAAGATTCCAGTCGAAGAAAGTTGGGGAAAAAAAAAGAAAGAGAAACTCATGTTAGTGCTTAAATCATAGGGCTTAGGCTTTTAGTCAGTGAGAGCTACCAGCTCAGCATTCTTCAAAAGTTAGACAGCAAGCTTCTTTCAAGTGATATGACCATCCTAAGGTGTAGATTTGTTATAAACCAGGTTATTCTATCAGAGCTTAAAATCAAGCAAAGGCCAAGCTCCATAGAGAATTTTAGAAACCATCTTTTAAATATCTGTCTTTAAGCCTCATTCCGCAAGAAAACAAAGTTCACATGAGCTGTGCCACTTCCCATCTTCCTTGCCTCAAGACTACTGAGTCTATCAGACAACTCCAGCTGACCAGCTGCAACACAGGACCACAAACACAGCAGCTAGCAGCAGCTGGCCCTGCGATACAGACCGCCTGCAAGCTCTGGAAGCTGTAGTTCAGTCAATGAAATGGCCGAACAATGCAAGAGATGAAAACACACTGGCCACCTGGGTACACCAAATAATTGCTGTGTGCATGGCTTGGCAGGAACCACTGTGTCCCACACAACCAGAATGGCAAACCAGGGGAAGGCAGGGCACATGCCCAGGGGACACAGAATGAGCATGCAAGCACTACAGGGGTAGTAGAATTAAACATACCAGTTTAATTACAATAACCAAACCCAGAAGAAACCACCATTCATTCACTTTGCCATTCAGAGTCCATGCTGTTCACTTCTCAAACTCACTAACTCCTTGGTCCCATCCGGTTATCCCTGATCCCTCAGACTGCCCTGTCATCACTGCTCTCACTTCAAATAAGTAAGAGAAACAGCACCCTAAGGGAGGGGGATTTTCACCGAGAGGTTGTATCAGAGCTTCCTTTCTCTTCTACATACTCTGACTATGGGCCAAAAAATATTCTTTTGTAAAACAACTACCAAATATTTATTTGGAACATACAAAGGCTTCTAGCAACTCAATGAAATGAACTGAGCTGCTGTGCTTTATGTATTTTTTCCAGCTAATGGAGCAGAAAAGAAAAAAAAATAAAATCCATTGTTTTCTGTCCAAGCCACAGAACAAGCCTCCCTTTCAAGCATAAAACAAGCAAGATGCCCTCAGCATTTATGTAGGAGGAAAAGAGTCTGCACAGACATTGTCTGCTTGTACGTGGTACGGAGAACTCCTTGCCACACACACACGCAGTGGGTATCACAGATCTGCTTATCTAAAGAAGTCACTGTTCTAACTTACTAGCAACCCGTAGAGAACTGTAGCGAAGCAAAAGAAAGAAAATCTGACTTCTCCCTACAGTCTGGGGAGGCAGGAACTATGTAATCTTGTACAGATATTGCCAGAAAGTTTAATTTTGATATGTCCTATTGTTGTCTCAACTTCCTGTTTTTTCTTTGCTCATTCTCTCCCCCCAGCCTAAAAAAAGTCCCTTATTTCATTTGCTCTTTCAGTGTGAGCTGCTTCAAAAAATTTTTTGCTGCCTCTGTTCTCTTACAGCATGACACATAAGCTCTTCAAATCTTAATGTGATTGTTTGGAAGTGGTAGAGTGGCCATGACATTTCACATCTGTTCATCCTTAGCCCTCTACCCCTATGATATAGTGGCAGTTCCCACTACCTTGAACTCTATGGCCCCCTCTGCCATAACAAAATTTACATGGATCATCTCCAGCTCTAGCTCTTTTCCTTCTCTTTCCACACTTGCCAGGATTACATCCTTCTTCCAGCTCCTCCATCTATTTAAATACTTTAGTTAGAGAAAGTTGAATTTTGAGTCATATTCCAGTCACACTTACCCACTTCTCCATTCCTCAGGCTTAGTCAGCTTTAGTTCCTCTCAAGAGGAAAAAAATTATCAAAGGAAACTGTCTGAGAGAGAAGAGAGCTTTAGGAAGGGAAGGTCTGCAAGGTACATAGGGCAAATATAAGCATTTGCTCTTCTGCCATAGATCCTCCTTGATCCCATCACCCCCTCCAACTGCTGGTAGTCCCAATATTTCCCTCTGAATAACTCTTCTAGCCTTCAATTGCTTTAGTTTTTATTTTGAGCATAAAGATGCTTCTATTTTTCTCACCTACCATCAAAATCATCAGGAAAAAAAAAATGCCTGTGGCTCTTCAGCCACTTCATTTTCATCTCTAGTGTTGTTGGAGCAGTTTTACTCCAACTACTCTTACTAGCTAAATTTTCAGGCCCCACTTCAATGAAAAGACTTCATCCTCATCATCCTTCTCAGACATCTTCCTACCCCTGAAATAAGGCACGATACTCTTACTAACTTACTAGTCTTACTACTCATACTTACTAAACTTTTCTTATTGCTTCCATCATGGATCTTCATTCTTCAATGCTCTCTCTATTCTCAGGTCTATCCTTCCTCATTATCTTGTCTCTAATCTGCAAAACAAGTTCAGCTCCCATCACTGCACTGACTACTCAGATCTGTGTCTCTGCTCAGGATCTGTCTTCTTATGTTCAAAGAATAGTCTCAGTCTGACATCTTTGTCAATGCTAAATTGTCAGCTCACACTAAATGGGACTAAAACAGAGCTCACTTCTTCACCCAGAGCCCTCCACAACTGCATTTATCACCATGGACCTGCCACATGTCTCTCCAACTCATAACCTGTACAGCATCTTTGACTTTGAACTCTTCTGAAGTCAAAGAGGAATCTTTTAGAATTTCTAGCAATCTGCTCAGCTGACATTGGTCTAAAACCTCCATTTGTATCTTGGACTTCATTACTGTGATGTCCTTTTTGCTCTGGACAGATGGACACTAGCAGACCAGTAAGTATCACAGTTCCTGGTAACCACACTGCTCCAAAGGTGACATTATGGAAAACATGACACATGCAAGACCACTGCTTTCCTCCATGAACTGACTACAGAAGACGCAGTACTCAACATACGCATGTCCAGAGCAAGTACTATTAATTATCCCATCGCCACTTAACCAGCTTTATTGACTTAATACTGTTTTAACTTACTTGCTGTGAATGAACAAGACCTTCCTAACTCTGAAGATGTAGCTCTCCAGTAGCTTAAGCAGATCTGAAGATGCAGAGTTTCTCAATTTCTTCATAATAACACCATCGTGTCTGCCAAGCTACACAAAACTAGTGAAAAAGTTACATGTTTTCAGATAGTTCAGCCCTCACCCAGCTCGCAAGCCCCAGGCGCTGTGCTGTCACTGACACTCTTAAGAGTGGCAACAATACACTACTCTGAAATCAACCCGTGAAAGGAAGCATTTACAGTTACCAAGTAGGAAAGTATAGGAAGATAGGAAGCATTCATAACCACAAGAGTTTGCATCTAGTTAATTAACCAAATTGTGGTTAACTGTTTAGCCTTCAGCGAGCTTAAGAGCAGTCAAGCTTATAGTCTTCACCAGAGTAGCATGAAAAACTCCAGCATTGCACTGGTAAGCAAATTTAACTGGTAGCTTTGAAATGGGGTACACCTTGATCAAAAAACTCTTAGAGAAGATGGCCAGTCACTGTCTACAGCACACTGATGAGAGTCCTCCTCACAGGTGTCCTCTCCAGGACATTTTTGGCCAGGTCAGCTGAGACTCACCAATCCACACATGCTGGCAACCTAATCCACGCCGGAGACACAGCCTATGTGACTGGCTATCTTATGGGTCAAAGTCTGGATACTTCCCCTTGTTTATTACTACTAACTGCGTACAGTCAAAGCTATATCCTCGATTAAACACAATAATATACAAATTATGGTTCACTCCCTAGAAACAAGTCACAAGGTTGTGAGCTGACATAACAAGGTTACACCACATTACAGAATTTCACCCATGCATGCCACAGTCATTTAAACAGCACCAAGCATCAAAGCATTCATCCTTGTTTCAGTACTAAGAGACTCTTGACCCCAATCATGTTATAGCATTGATCTCATCAGACTTTTATAATCCACATTGTAGTACCTTCTCCTAAACACTGACCCTCACACTTGGGAGGATCTGCTCAAAAATGGAAAATTTAGTTCACTTCCTTCAAGCCCTCTTAAGTGCCTTCAAAACATTTGGTAACAGCATCTGTTTAAATCCAACAGTGCCTAAGCTGCCAGTGCTTGGAGATCAATGCCTACTAAAGCTGAAGTAGTTTTTTGGGTCTTTTTCCTACTTTTACTTGTATGCCCAGGTTGCTTACACTTGTATTATACTGTTTAAAAAAAAAAAAAAAAAAAAAAAAGTCTTTTGGATAACAATTTGGTTTATTCTACATTTTTGTATACAGAAATATGGCCCCCATTCTAGTAGGCAAATATGGCCCCCATTCTAGTAGGCAAAGACTAAGAATTTGTTTTGGTAGTGTATCACAAGGAAATCTTTCCTTACACTGACAGTTTAATTAACACAGTTAATTAACATTTCTTCGTAGACCATAGTCTCCACTGAGATCTTGGATCCAATGAAAAAGTTCCCCTTAATTAAGGCTATCAAAACACCAAAATAAACTTGATTACCCTGGATCCAACTCAGCTTGATCACCAGGAGCACTAACAAACTAAGAATGCAAAAAACTACCACTGTAATCACAGGCACCTTATTTCCACAAGCACTAAGACAGCATAAGCAGAAACTTTTATCAGATCACTAAATACTGGATGCTTACAGCTGCTATGGTTCCCATCCTACACTGGGAAAAGTGTTACACTCCCTTCCTCTTGAAATGGCTACTCACCAGTTTATTAATTAATATAAGCAACTTGCTTTGTGTATTTAGGGACACCTGGTAATACAGTTGTTTATATGATTTATAAATAAAGTCTCTTATGTATGAAAGATCAGGAAATAATCAAAAAATCTGATGAAAGATTAAAAGATTCAGACAAGCTGTTAGAGGTAACTAGATGACAAGTTGTAGATCAAGAAAGGAGAAAGAAATGCATTAATAC